CTTAATAACACAGAAGATATAGATTGGCTACAGAATGAATAGCAATATTTTTGTGCATTAGGTTAAAGGAGAATCAGAGTTATCTAGTAAAAATCTTCCCAAAGATCATTGGGGGTGTCCATAGACATGATTAAAAATTAATTTTAGAAAAGGACAGGCCTCCTATGTATATCAGCTAGCCATGGCATATCAAGTTGCAGTAAGACTAGGCACTCCTCTCCTGAGGCTGGAAGAGGCAACCCAGTAGGAGGAAATGGTCCCAAAAGCAGATAACAGAGTCAGAGACAGCCCCTGCTCCCACTGTTAGGATGGATGAGGGAAGGAAAAGGGAAGGTTGGGGGGAAGGACTGAGAGGAGAGGAGGGAGGGAGGAGAAACTGTGATTGGATTGGGAAAAAAGTAATAAATAAATAGAAAAAAAAGTAATCTTAGACATTTTATGGACATGCAAACTATTCAGTTATCCTTAAGACAGAGGTACACATAAATAACAAAGGAACTTGACAGTAAACAAGAATATTTCAAATGGAGTAAAAGGCAAGTTGCAGTATGTCACTGGCAAGGAGAAAAAACTTTCATAATCTTTGGCCAAATATAAGTATGTTTCATGACACAAAAGCTTTACAAAAGAGAACAGCAAAAAAGAAAACAACAGTTCTGTATTTTTCCATTGCTATTAAAATCTATAGAATGCCAATAGATATGACTACTGAGAGTTAAGGCTGCAGATTGTGTAATGGGAAACATTTTCTAAAGAACAAAATCAAAGAAAAGGAAACTAGGGCCTCACAACACATTATCACAACACATACATAAACCTCTATTATATGCCCAGACAATTAAGCTGTGCTGTTCTTCACTGAAGTAAAGGACAGAAAGATCTGTCTAGGACCCACTTCTGGAAATTTAAAGAAAAAGAAACATTCCTCACAATGCCTGCCATTCTCTGGGATATCCATAGGAAAAGATCTAGGCATGACCAAACTTATTCTTATCACCCAAGTCCATTGTACTTACCTAGTATTTTTTTAGTGAGGCCATAAGAGAGACTGTCAAAGATCAAATACTTAAATATCAATTTTCTCAGGCAGGTGTTAAGTCAAGGTCCTCTGATATAATGTATACAGACATGGGTTTTGGAACCCAGTTCTAACTGTACTGGAATACTGAATGGGCAACTTGTACCACCCGCTATCAAAACATATTCCAAAGGGTAAATGTCTTTTGAGCATCAGTAGCAGACTAAGTGAGTGACACCAGGTAGACATTGACAGGGAAGATGGTAAAGTAGAAGCTCAGTATCAACTGGAGATGGTCTAAATATGGAAAGGATTCATTAGTACATCTAGATTTGGGCAAGAAATCAATCAGTGAGCTTTTAGTCATCCAGAAAAGTCCTTAGGTCACAGTGCTTTATGTTTGACTATCTGGCTTAACTAGAAAAACAGTCATTTTAGAGGCCTCTATTTAGGGCTACTTAACAGTTTTTTTTTCTCCTGAAGCTTACTCAATTCAAGTGTTTCTGAAAATTTATAAATGAAGTTGAATAAAGTGCTGGGGAACTATCTCAGTAATGTGCTTGCCACACTTGTGAAGACCTGAGTTTATCCCAAGTACCTATGTAAAAGCCAGATACAATGGCTTGTGCCTACCATCCCTGTCTGGGGGGGACAGACAAGAGGATCCCTAGCGCTTGCTGGCCAGTCAGTCTAGCCAAGTCAAGGGAACTGCAGGCTCAGTAGATATTTTGTCTCAAAAAAATGTGAAGTGATTGAGGAAGACACCCAGTGAAGACCTCTGGCCTCCACATACATAAATGCACACACAAGCATGTGCCATCCCCACCATGAACATATACACAATTCAATAAGAGAAAAAAAGCTTGAACAAATAATTTAAATGCATGACACTAGAAGATAATTCTTTTTTTTTTTTTTTTTTTTTTTTTTTGGTTTTTCGAGGCAGGGTTTCTCTGTGTAGCTTTGCGCCTTTCCTGGAACTCACTTGGTAGTCCAGGCTGGCCTCGAACTCACAGAGATCCGCCTGGCTCTGCCTCCCAAGTGCTGGGATTAAAGGCGTGCACCACCACCGCCCGGCAGATAATTCATTTAAAAAAAGATGGATGAGGGCTGGTGGAATGGTCCAGTAGTTTATAGTGTTTGCTGCTCTTTCAAGAAGACTTGAGTTCAGTTCCTAGCACACATACCAGGTGGCTCTAAACTGCCTGTAATTCCAGCTCCAGGAGATCCAACACCCTTTTTTGGGCCTCCACAGGTACCTGCACAGAGAGGTGCGCACACACACACACACACACACACACACACACACACACACACACAGAGAGAGAGAGAGAGAGAGAGAGAGAGAGAGAGAGAGAGAGAGAGAGAGAGAGAGAACTGAAAAAAAAAAGACAAAATTACTTGGTACCAGGTCAAGACATAAGACTGTGGTTAGGAAATTATTTAAATTACTTTAAATTGGTACTTTTATAATGTTCCAGTACACAGTCCTTATTGTAGCCACTGTAGAAAAGGAATTAGTATGTGTGCTGGTGACAAATGAGAGCTGAGCAAGGACAGCACGAAGAATACCAGGGGTACCGTTTCCATCTGTGTCCTCTGTGATCTTTCAAAGTTTATTCTAAAGACTCTTCTTTTAACTTACCTAAGTTGTCAGTGCTGTTTTACCTACCCATATCAGCTAGACAGAATTCAGAATCTGCGTCTTCTATGCTGGCCCAGAAAATGTAATAACCTATCATTAAGAGGACGTCAGTCAGAGGTTTGGAATGCCTGACATGGTCATTTATTGTCAGGATTCTTTCCAAGGGTCTTTTGCAAGTCATATAGTTGGCTTGGACGTGGCAGTCTTCCAAAAGTAGCTATCATTGTGACCATTTGCCTTATTTCATTATAGAGCTTTAACATACACGTTTTCCTCAAATCATAATAGAGTCATACTCAAATAAACTCATCATAGCTTGAAAATATTAAACTGTGTTTGTGGTGTTCTGTGGACACACTGAGATACACAGACAGACACAGACACACAGACACACATTCCAGAATCACTGGTAGAGATGGCTATGCTAGTTAATACCTATAATTCCAGCACTATGGAGGCAGAGACAAGAAGATAGCTGCAAATTCTAGGCCAATCTGGTCTACATAGCCAGTATCAGGCCAGCCTATACTGTAGAGTGAGACCTTATCTCAAGAAAACAAACCACAGGGGGCTGAAGGGATGGCTTAGTGTTAAGAGCACTGGCTTGTCTTTCAGAGGATATGAGCTTGAAACTGAGCAGCCACATGGTTTTATTTGTTTCCTGGTGTTACCACATGACTGACTAAAAGCTGCCTTGACTCTCACTCCAGCTATGTTCCCAGCAAAGCCTTTACTGGGCTGGACACTTCTACAGTTGCATTGCCTTTCTAGGATGCAAATGGATCCCAGTCACAGTGCCCATGTCACTTGCAAATGTGATATTAACTGAAGCTGTGCAAAAAAGGAACAGAGAATCAAAGCAATAAAATGGGTTTTTTAAAAGTGTAAATAAATTTCCCTAACAAAACTCTCGTAGGCATGCCATTTTGGTAACAGAGACGGAAGAGAATGGAAGTAACAGTAGCTTTTTACTATGGGCCAAACTGTATGTTTTAAATGTTTAGAGTCCTCACATCAGTCTTGAATGGGGCTTCTTTGTCTTCCTTACACAACAGTTTTTCAAATAAATTTCAATTATATGCTACATGCTGTCTTACACTTTCCTAATACAAAATATGTTTCACTGTTTTGTTTGCTCACTTTATAAAAACACTTGTCTGGAGAAAAATTAGACTATCTGGCAAGCGCCATCTTGTGTCCAGAAGCAGAACTGTCACTACCACGTCCTTGGGGAAAGGTGGGAACTATATCTTGCCAGCCAGTAGCTTTCTCAGGCTTCTAGAATATGCCAGACTGAAAATCAGAGCTTTGTTACGCACTGCACAAAAGGTGGAATCCAAATGTCCTCACCTCCAAAGTTCTTGACTGTAAAATAAACTTCATGTTTACTGAAAATATAAAATATGAGGAAGCTACAAAAATTATAATTTTGGAAAGAAAACTCTACTAATAATTACCTGTATAACTTATATATTTTTACATATACACATGAATTCATACTATTACAAATCATCTTTTTTGTTTGTTTTAATTTGGTTTTGGTTCTTTGAATCAAGGGAGTGCTCTGCAACCCAGGCTGACATGGAAATCACTATGCAGTCTCAAGCTAACTTGGAAACTCAAGGCCATTCTCCTGCCTCAGACTCTTGAATGCTCAGATTACAGACATAAAACACCATGCCTTGTAGCCAGTTCAGTTCATTAATGCATTGCTTCAAATTCTATTTTCCCCGAACTCAGAAGCATTTTATTTTAAGGTTTATTTTCTGAAGTCATTAGAAAATGACTATAGATTAAAGATGATTTGAAACCCAGCATGTTTCCTTATGCCTATATCCCCATCATTCAATGGGCTGAGGCACGAGGATGGCCGCAAAGTCAGCCTGGGACTACATAGTTCCAGGTGAGCCTGGTCTATAAAGTCTGTCTCAAACAACAACAGCAGCAGCAGCAGCAGCAGCAGCAGCAGCAAAGAGGCTATTTTAAAACAGAGATAGTAAGACCACATAACAATTCCATTAGTAGGCTGATCCCCTTTTCCTTATTTGATGGCACATGTTTTGTTAATCGTATTTTTCTCCTTCAACAACTTAAAAACGCTGCCTGCCATTCTAAACACTTTCTTTTTCACCAACTTCTACTTTGCAAACTGCTTTTCAAATCACTTGCGCTTCATACTTTTATTTGCCAGCTATATATAACACTCCATGGGATTGAAGTATCATGCCACATAATACTTTTAAAACTGCTTAGAGAAATAAACCCAGTCCCCTATCTCACGTTTAAACTGAGATAATACAGAAAAAAAAAAATGGTTCTTGCTGATCACTGCTATACCTGTGGCCTGACAGGAGCGCTCACAAGCAGGATACACACAGGACTCTAGCGTACACAACTTGGTTCCTTGCTTGACTGCGTCTAGAAAGAAAAGAAAAAAAAAAATCTCTCTCAGCAAAAGAAATAGGTTATGAGAGCATTTACCTCTGTACTTGTGTGTGTTCGCGTGCGTGCATGCGTGTTTGAAACAAAATAGGTATGCTGTCTCAGCATCATTTTGCTTTTTCTAATTATGAAAATTATCTGGGAATAAAGCAAATCTGAAAATGCTGAAAGCAGTTTTTTAAAAAAATAGATCACGCCTCACCTCGCCACCAACATACCCAAAACACTCAGAGACACAAGGAGTCTAGTTTCCCGCCCCCGCCCCCAGTCAGGAAAACGCGCATTTTTTTTTTTTTTTAGAAGTGATATCACTCAACAGCGTATCTAAATCTCGTTCCAAGCCCAGGCACCTTTCTGTGTCATTCATTTTCTGCCAGTTATTTTTTGGCAGACTACAAACATTTAAAACAAAATCTCATTTTAAAAAAAAAAACCCAAAACAAAACTGTACCAGAGACAAAAACATGGAATGCCACGTATGAAAATGAACATGAACGGCATGCCTCACTGAAGTCTTAATTTAGAAGCTGCAATCTGATCACCTCTCCCCACACTACGGACTTTCAAATTATCCGAAAACCCCAAATGCCAGAGGATTGATTCCACCAGAGAAACGACAAATCTATGAAAACATTATTCCATCCCCACCTCTCCCAGGCACTAATTTCTCTCTTCTTTTTCCACCTTTCCCCCAAAGCGCGAAGAAATTACCAGAAAATAACGGGCTAAAAGACAGCCATTACCGCGAGCCTCCTAGTCTGCTGCCGCCGCTGGGAGAAGTGCGGCCCCTCCCCCAGGACAGGCGCCGCTGCGCGCTTCCCACGAGCTGGCTGAAGCTCCGCCCCTTCTCGTGCTGGGGGCTGCAGGGGGAGCGCCCCTCTGGGAGGGACCAGAGCCTCCAACTCCAACCCAGACTGGTTTCAGGCTGGAGAAAAAAAGCCGTTTAAAAAAAAAAAAAAAACCCAAAAACTCGAAAGCAGAAAGGCAACATGTGTCCTTTACTTTGCATTCAAAGCACCAGGGTGGATGGTCTCCCCCGAAAAAAAATGCAGAAATGCCTTTATCATATGTTAAAGACCTAGACAAGCAACATACATAGTTGTTTTGTTCTCTCTCGTTCTCTCTCGTTCTCTCTCTCTCTCTCTCTCTCTCTCTCTCTCTCTCTCTCTCTCTCTCTCTCTCTCTCTCTCTCTGTATGTTAAAGACCTAGACAAGCAACATACATAGTTGTTTTGTTCTCTCTCTCTCTCTCTCTCTCTCTCTCTCTCTCTCTCTCTCTCTCTCTCTCTCTCTCTCTCTCTCTCTCGCCTATCCTGCCATATTATTTCTGCAAACTATATTAAGGTCCAGCTGCTTAAAATATTTAAAATAAATCTGCCAGATCCTTGTTTGTAATTGAGGTGAATTAATAATACCTTATTTGGGGGAGAATTAAGTCTTTGCAAGCTTAATTTTCCTCGTCCTGAGATATGTGCTTACCCCTACTTGCCTTCTCTCTCCTCCCCTACTCCTCCCCTCCCCCTCTCTGTGTGTGTGTGTGTGTGTGTGTGTGTGTGTGTGTGTGTGTGTGTGTGTGTGTGTGTGTTTTAATCAGGTCTTCTTATTCATCCTTCAGGAACTTTCACACATTTTAGTCATTTCTAAATATGTAACATGAATTAAAATTCTTTAAAGAAATGTGTATTAATACTGAAATTAGCAAGGGAAGCCTCGTTAAAAAAAATACTGTAAGCTAAAGTGGAAAACTCAACAAACTTGGCACAACTTGTTTTCAGTGCAAAACCATCTGTGTTCTAAAGTAGCTCTTAAGTGGATGTGGGGCCTTACACCTGTAATCCAAGCACTGGGGAAACTGAGGCAGGAAGCTGGGGGTGTTGAAAGGAGCTTGGGCTAAAGGGTGAGAACCTATCTCAAAAACTAAACTAATGCCCCCCACACACACACCAAAAATACCCAATAAAATGTTGAGGGCAGCCTAAAGTAGCTCTTACATGTTAACTAGAAATAAACAGCAAAATAAAAATAAATGGACAAAGGACAAGAGGACATGAATAGTTCATGAAATTCTAAGGGAACACTCTGCTTCCTTGTAAGCAGCCTCATGCAGAGCAAATCTAAATATCTCTGTTTCTGTACTGCTACAAGCCTCAAACCTGTTTGGCAGTGTTTACTTAAATTTGGTGCTCCATCTTAATTAAGGCCCGCTTGACTTTTACAATTATCAGTGTTCTGCAACTTACCATTGTACTAAAGCTTACACTTTCGCCTTCCTGTGAAAACTCCATTTTATATCAACTTATTCAGTGGAGAAAGGCAGATCATTTTTATTGGAGCTCCTTAAAACCCAGATATTCAAAATGAAAACTGAGCAACACATGAAAGATATCCACCCACTTTAATAATCAAAATAATGCGAATGTAACTAACACTAAGACTTCCCATTTTTTAAAGCCCAGTTTGACTAAAACACAGCAAAGAGATTATGAAAGCAATAATTGGCAGGATTACAAGGAAGCAGAAACTCATGCCTGCTACAAAGCCAGGTAAGGGACGACAAGAAAAAAGCCAAAGTCATTCAGTCTGACTCCTTTAGAGCCTCTCCCCAGTGCATTCATTACCTCCGGGGCTTAGAATTCTGCCTGTTTGCTAGAATGCAGGATGATGTCATTTACTCTGGGACTAGGAGGAAATCAGTGGCTGTAATACAAACCTGAGTGCAGTTCACCATTCACATTCCTGCTGGTGAAGACATGGTAAGCTGCTGTCATGCTCAGTAATCCCTATACTTCTCCACATACTCTCTCCCTCGTACAGGTTTTGGTGCGCTATGCCTTTGGGCTGACCATAATCAGCATGGTTAAATCCCCTTGACCTTAGAGTCATTATGGCACATCTTTCCCTGCTGCTGAAGCCTAGTGGTCGGTTCCCTTTCAGATCCGCCTGCTTCGGTAATGGCACTGAATGTCGTGATCTTCTGCAGTGAAGTGCTCATTTCACTCCAGTTTATTAATGATTAGCCATTCTTTGTTCCTGTGCTTTGTTTTTAACAGCTAGACCCATATGGGAAAACTGTCATGACAGTGTTGCTGGCATCCTTCATTACACTTTTTTTTTTTAAATTCAAAAGCACCCAAGAAATTAAGACTAAAATTTAGAATTTTCTTTTCCTTTAAGCCTGACTTGTTGCTTCCTAGGGGGAGCTATATCTTACACACCACCTGTGGATAACAATTCTGAGGTTTACATCTCTTGAGATAATGTTATGCTAAGTTTAAAACCAAAAAAAAATTCTAAAACATTAAACAACCCCATCAATTAACACAGTGAACAAGTAACATGAATCTCTTGCTCATTTTAACAACCAAGAATAGAGAAACAGAGATGGACTGTTAACAAAGCTCTTCCTGTAATAAATAGGAAGGGGGGGGCGGGAAGAAACCTGCTTGCACTGGGAACTCTACAGAAAGAAGAGTTCTTCCGGTGATCCTAAGCAGAAGGGTCAGACAAGGTCAAAATGGTTCTGTACCCATTCTGGAAGGAGCATCCAGGGTTTATTGGTGAGATGTGGGTCTCTATTGATAGGATCCAACGTCAGAATTTACAGTGCAGCAGTAGAGGCATTATGCTTCTATTTTTCAAATAGAAAGTCAGACTGTTGTGGGTTTGAAACCTTTATTACCTTTATGGAAACAAAATTTCCAATTCTTCACACAAATTTAGGTTGTCATCTCCACATCCCAGAAAGCTTATTTACTAAAGATTAATGAGTCACACGAACCTCTAATGTTAACTGAGGTGTTCAATATCAAATAGTAACTACATTTCATGGTGTGATAATAAAAAAATGCAGACCCCTGCAGTGTTTTCCAAGAAGCCTTATGCTAGGTGAGATACTAAATGGTTCTTACTTCCCATTAGCCTCTTTTCATTCCCCTGAAAATTCACAGGGTAGCTTGAAAAAAATGTATTTTCAATGAGTGATAACTGGGGTAGATTAAAACATAGCCCCCAAAGAAAAGGGACTAGATAAAGAGTTTACTTTGCCAAGTGGAAAGGTAGCGGGACAATGAGAGTGGAGACAAAGTCCAGGTCAGAAAAACAAAGGCAGGGTGGACAAAACCAGATAACTAAGATAACACAAACCGGATACCTTATCTTTTTTTTTTTTTCCTGTTGTAAAAGAAGCAAGGAACGTATTTATGTAGGAGGGTCTTTGGCAGTATCAGGGACATTATTTGTGTTCCTGAATGACTGGAGACTTTTGGGCTTCTCTGGTTATACTGGGGAGTGCTGGGTTTTAATGTTTTCTGAGCTGCTACTGCTGCCCTGTTTATCCACTAAAATTGAAGAAAATCTCATGGACAAAAGACAGAGGGCTCAACTTCAACAACGCAGCACAGACTTTGGAGTCAGAGATTTGTGATGGTTGCCAGAGAAGAGGTAAATGGGTTAAACAACTATGAATACTATTCAAGAAAGCATGCAGATTTCCTTCTAAGGAAAGCCTTGGGGCCTTTAAGCAGATCTTGAGAAACCTTAGTGACTGTGCTATGTGATGACAACCCAGAGCAATTCTCAAGGACTTGACAGTCCGGTTCACAGGCCAGCTCTGGATAGCCACTAGCATAACTTCTGTTTAAAACAAGGCAGTCTTTCTCAAAACTATGACATTTAATTGCACTTCTGGTTTCAGAACAGGGAGCTAAATAATCCATACCTCCAAATTTTCAACTGAAAACAGCTTTACTACAAAAGGTAGTTTTAAATTTAAAATGCCACAGATGCAAAATAAAGTAACTTTTGCCATCTCAAAATGTTTTTAAATGTAAGAAATTTGATGAAATCGGAAGAGCCTTACCCTCTGTCACATGGACTGTGGTAGTCTGACACTATGATCCAGCTGTTTCGATTCACACTCCAGCTGTTTGCCCAGCAGAGCGTTCACTCTCCTGGGTACTTTTATGGCTGCACTGCCTTTCTGGGCACAAGTGGTGTCACAGGCTGATTTGCCCACGTCACTTGCAAGTCTGATATCAACTGATGCTGGGTAAAAGGAAGACAGAAAATCAAATCAATAAAATGAAAAGAAATGTGGAAAAACTGCCTACCCAAACTCTAGCTGTTGGGAGGCACAGAAATGAGGGGAAATCACATCCCTGATAATCTCATGATATGCTGATTTTCCTTCTTATTCATATACGTTGAAATGCTTTTTAGGACAACTCTATTTGTTTCATTCTGAAATAATCTCCATTCAGAAAATTAAGAGGTAGAGCCATAAGAGAAGGGAACTGATAATTGCCTTGTATGCTCTATCAGCCAAATTCTGGCAAACTACCTTGTTTTTTTGTTTGTTTTTTTTTTTTTGTACTTTGTTTATAAATTCTCATATCACTCACTCTCTTTGTGTGGACTTTTCCAGTTATATACAACAGATATTTTCAATTACACCCCATGTGAATGCTCACAGCTTGCTAAAACAGAATATATTATTTGTTTCTTTACTTTAAAAAAATAATTGCCTGGAAAACATTTAGTAAACCTGGTAAGCGCCATCTTTTGACCAAAACCAGAACTGCAGACAATCAGTTGGGAGGGGGTAGTGGGAGCAATAACCATGTAAAGAGTACTTTTCTCAAGTTTCCAGAGTTGTTCATTCTCAGCTTAACAGTTTCTCCTGTCTGTCTGTCTGTCTGTCTGTCTCTCTCTCTCTCTCTTATGAAAAAAACAGGATAGTAAACTCATTTTAGGGTTTGGACTATAAAATATCTTATGTTTATCTTCTATTCAGGTTTGGATTCCAAATACAATGGTGATCAAAATATGAGTTTTCTTCATATATTGCTGTACATTTGTGTGCTTATAATCTGAATGATCTGAAATTAGATGGTTTATCTCCTCAATGATATATTTGGTATTTTTATATCAACAATTTCCACATTATTATTTTGTGAATCATTTTAAAGATTTTTTCTATATCTCTAAATTTTAAATTTTCTTCTAATGAAAACAACTCAAATATGCTATTTTTAAACTGAAGAGATGCAATGTAAGTTGAAATATTTTTTCTCTCCAACTTTACTTACATTCCCATTTTCAAATTTCCATTTATGTATTCATTTTTCTCTTACACTCATTCTATTAATGTACAACACTCATTTTTGTAAAAAATTTGATATTATATTATGCAGAAGTTTCTGGAAGTTGCTTAATTTTAGAATACACCTTAAGCCTATTCTCTTATTGTAGCATTTAGAGTTATTTAATTCTTTAATTTCTTTTATTAATTGAGTGTGTGTGAGTGTGTGTGTGGGGAGGTGGCTGGATATGCATGCCGTGGCATGTATATGGAGGTCAAAGGAATTCTGTAAAATCAGTTCTCTCCTTTCACCTTTACATGGTTTCTGGAGCTGGAACTCAGATCTCCAGCCTTGCATAACAAGCACATTTCTGAGCCACCAGGCCAACCCATAGCATTCTTTTTACAACTAAATAGTGTTCAATGATACAGTTTTGCTAGCCTGCACATTATCTCCTACATACTGCTCCACAATATGTGTTTGAACATTTTCTACATTCTTTCTCAAGAGTATATAAATATCGTCTGTTTGAACCAGAGTCTGGACTATAGCCTAACTATCTGAATTTTAAGCAAACACAAGTAATTGGATAACCAGCCTTCTCAGATCCACAGGAAAATCCAGCTGCAGCTTAAGACAATGGAATGTGTGTGGGCATCTGCTCAAGCACCTGTAACAAAACAAATTATTCCTTTTTCAGCTCCATTTTTATTTCTGAGTGTAAAAGTCCAAAAAGTCTAAAGCAAAAACCACACATCCCCAGTGCGCGTTGCCTGAGCTCTTTATTACTGCTTTGATTTTATTAGTCCATCACATGTACACTTGAATGCACTTCTTGAAATGACATTTATTCAATCCTCATATATAGTTCACATCTCAGTTAATTTATGCCAATGTAGGTACTACATGCTCAGTGAAACATGGCAAAACATTGAACAATCCCTCCGATGTTCTTTAATATGAGATGTCCTTTGTTATTAGTGGAATTGTTTATTCTGTTTAGTATAATGATATATGTTCATTGTTTTTATGATCTCTCAGGTTTTGATTTTGAGACAAGGCCTAGTGTAGCCTAGACTAACTATTGGAAGCTGGCTTTTAACTCCTGATCATCCTGCCCCCTCCTCCCAAGCACTGAGATTCCAGGCTTTTACCACCCCCAAGCCAGCCTCTCATGCTTACTGTTTATATTTTAATACCATTCAAGACTCATCTCTTCATATGTAAGTAGAGATGTAGAAAAAGATCATATTTGTATTTATTTGCAATTATTTAAAAACTGATTTTTTAAAAAAGCACTGAGTTGACAAATGACCAAATTTCCAGCTCACGGAGGCACTTGAATCTGCAAATTATATTTTGCTGTATACTATTATACAAAATTCACCAAAATATTAGTATCTGTGGGAAATACAATCGACACAGAGAAAGTAAAATGAAAGCCAGCATCCTGAACACTTTAAATTCTCATTTACGACATCAAAACTTTTTTCAAAATAGAAGATTAATTTGCCAGGAGTTTTCTAAACATTTACCACAGCCACCACAGCTTTTTGCCTGAAATACCAAATGATCCATTCAAAAGTTATTGTTTGCAACCTCATGAAGAATTCTTTTCCACAGGTGTAATATGATCGCCACCTCTCTCCCGTTGGACTTTTAAAAAAATCTGGAATACAAAGCTCAGTTATCATTTCTCTCATAGAAATGACTAGCACACAGCGCCATTCCTTTTCTAATACCTTGAACCGGCGGCCCCGACTTTTCTCACCTTTAACACTCAAATCTTCCACAGATCTTGGAAAACATCTACTTCCCGGACCGCTGAGGCCAGGGCCTGAATGCTCAGCCGCCGCCGCCGCCGCCGCCGCTGCCGCCGCCGCCGCCGCCGCTGCCGCCGCCGCCGCCGCCGCCGCCACTCAGGCACTCTGCAGTCTCTCCCCTGCAGGCAGCCAGCGAGTGGTGGGCCCAAGCCTCGCAAGCCCGTATAAGAGCAGCTCCTCCCCCCGACTCGGGGCTTACCCGCCTTCCCCTCCGCCCAAGGATGCTCCGCCCCCTACCGTGATGGAGGGGTTGGGAAAAAAAAAACAACCCGCGAGGTCTCTCCGAGCTCTGGAAGGAAAAAGTACACAAGTAAAACCAAGGCACAGCTCAAGAGAAGAAAATCTTTAACAGAACTTTGAAGTGTGTGGGCCAGGGACATCCCTTCAATTTCTATTCAAACACATGAGTGACTCCTGAAGGAAAAGAAAAGATTAAGAAGCAGCTGTTCTTTTTCAGATAATACAGAGGGTGGTTAAAATAGTCCTCAGGGTGTTTTTGCTTGTTTGTTTTGTTTGGGATTTTTTTTCTTTTTTGGTGGCCATTTCTTGTACTTGCTTCTCTTCACCTTCTCCCTCTTCCTCTCTCCCTCTCGTTCGTTCCTTCCTTCCTATTTTTCTCTTGTAAGAGTTTGCAACTCTCAGTGCTGCACACGCCGATCTTAAACCCATTATCTCCCTGCCTCAGTCTCGCCAGTGTGGCTATAGGTGACTCAATTGCATCAGCTAATTAGGTAATTTCTAGAAAAAAACTCCATATCTGATTATACTGAAATTAGAAAGAAATATGCGTATCAACAATAAGAGAGTGAAAGAAAGGCCATGAAGTTGGGTGGGTGGGGAGATGGGGAGGATCTGGGAGGAGTTGAGGGAGAAGAAACCATGATCAGACTATATTGTATGAAAAATTCATTTTCAATAAAATATAAAATTAATAATAAGACTCGCTGAGGCATATATATTTTGTAATCAGTCATTTCACTAGGGAAGCCCACCAGGGCTACACAGTGAAACACTTTTAAAAGAGCAGACAAATGTAGTAAGACCATAAGAAGCCACATAAAGGCAGAAGAGAACTGGCTTCACAAAGCTGTCATCTGATCCCATACATAGGCTGTGGCACTAGTGACACACACACAAATAATAAATGTTTTCAATTATTTTTAACATTAGTGTGTGTGTGTGTGTGTGTGTGTGTGTGTGTGTGTGTGTGCGTGTGTGTGTGTTTGTCCTTTTCCTGGCTCACATGCAGACAACTTTAGGGAGTTTTCTCCCCCCACCGTCGGATCTAGAGATTGAACTCAGGTCAACAGGCTCCAGCAGGAAGCACTTTTACCCACTGGACCTCTGTTGGCTCTTGTCTGATTTGTGACCTTGGGAAGATTTCAGTCTTCTACCAGTGTGTATAATGTTAGCTATGGATTTTCCATAGATGCCCTTTATCACGAGTAAATCCATTTCAATTCTCAGATTTAATTTTTAAGCAAGCACCTTTATCAGATATCTTGCCAACCACAAACTAACATTTTGTGTATGGTGAGACACTTAAGATCCATTAGCATAGTAAGTTTCAAATATACATTACACTACAGTAAGTATACTGTATATTAAGTCACTAGAGTGTTTTCATCTTATAAGTGAAAATGTGCACTGTTGACTAACATCTTCCAGTTTCTCCATGGAGTAAGCCCCATCCCTGGTAACCATCCTTCTATCCCTTTCTTTTATAGTTCTGACATTTTAATTTTTTAGACTTTTTAAAATTATTTTATGAGTATGAGTGTTTCTCCTGCATATATATATATATATATATATATATATATATATATATATATATATATATATATATATTTGCACCATATGTGTGTCTGGTGCCTGCAGAAATCAAAAGAGGGCAACAGATTCCCCAGAACTGGAGTTACGAAAAATTGTGAGATGTCTTTGTGGGTGTTGGGAATCAAACCCACTTGGTACAGTAAGTAGGGTTAACTAGTGAACCAACTCTCTAGCCCACAAATTTGACCTTTTAAGATTCCGTATGTGAGATCATGTCTGTGTCTGGCTTATTTCTGTTAACATGTTCTTCACATTTATTTATGCTTTTACAGATAGTGTGATATCTGTTTTAAAAGACTTAAT